TTTTAAGCTAAATATTTAGGTTGCTTAATATTTAAGTTGCAAGCTAAATATTTAGCTTAAAACTAAATATTTAAGTCACTAGTTAAATATTTAGCTTCTTAACTAAATATTTAGTTTATAAGTTAAATATTTAGTTTATAAACTGACATTTATAAATGTATGAATCATATGGTGTAAAACTGACTGAAAAATAAATCTGTTCGTTTTTCTTATAAAAGGCTAAATAAAACAAAAATGTTGGTGGTAATTTTTGACTGTGTAACTTTACAAACCCCATAGGTTCTGCTTCTGCCACTCGTCCATGTAGTCATGTTGGACAGTTATTTCCTTAAACTTTGTAGCTACACACCTTGTTGGCAATCAGGGGATTTTAGGGTAAAATTGTACCCCTGCTGTGGATTAGATCTGCAAAAATCACAATTTCAAAGTAGTAAAGTTCCTCTTTAAAGCCTCCTGACTCAGGAACATGCTCAGCAAGACTTTTTTCAGTTTGAGCTTTTCAGGTCGCTCAGAAATGTTTAATTAAAGTGCAACAGAATCTATTAAATCTGAAATACAATATGAAGTCTTATGAGTATGAATACGCTAGCTTTGATTATTTTTGACGTCTCTCCTGTTTGTGTGTTGTTGTTTTTTTCCAGATCAGGCATGTTGGAGTCTGGCGTGGACCGAATTATCACTCAGGTTGTGGACCCTAAGATGAACCACACTTTCCGGCCACAGATAGAAACCGCTGTCCATGATTTCCTCTCTGGAGACAGGAAGGAGGAGAGTACTTCCAGTTCTAGCCTTGCACCATCTGAACAGACTGAAACACAAGAGCCCACCTGTGCCTCTGGCCCCAAAACCCCCTGAGGCGTCTCTAAAAGCTGACCGAGTCGGCATCGGTTCAGAAATGTGCGTTTTCTCCTGTCAGAGTCACACCTACTGGTGTTTGCTGGGCTACATGTACGGCTGTGTTGATCCTTTGATGCATTCTGAGTGGAATGAAGACGATAAAGAAGTTGTTTCCTTCCTCCTTTCTTTATAGGATGGTTTTATTACCTGTCTGCGTGCACAAACCTGTGCATTTACTGCACAACTCTGCTTTTTGGATGTCAGTTTAGTGGTACATTTGGTACTTTATAATGTGATTATCTTACAGAGATTAGATTTTTTTTTTGTATTCCTTGTCAGCTGATCTTCCAGCTAATTCAGGCATTTTTAACAACCATTTAGATTTTCAAAAACTTGACACTGTTGAAGGGTGAAGTTGTTTTAGGAGGATTGTGCATGGTGTCTTATGTTCATTTATTAACATGTACATCAGTGAAAAACGTTTTGTTCAATAAGTAAAGACTTTTATGTTTCATTTTGCATTGATGTATTTAGTTTGCAGTTAATAAAAAGTGCTGAGAACACACTCCTTTAGTTTCTGTCAGGAGTAAAAAAAAGATGTCTGTGCAGTCATTATGTTTGATGGAGAATGTTAATTTTCTGCATTTGCAGCAAGCAGAGCACATAACCATATATTACACTAGATGGGGTAATTTTACCCTGTTTGGTTTTCAGAACTCAGAATCCATCAAACATAAAATAATACTTTCAACCTTTTAATTCCTCCATTTAATCAAGGTGCACATGTGATGTTACCTATTAAAAGCAAATGCATAATGCACAATGAAACTAATCGTTTAAACAACATTTATTGCAGGTCAAAAAGGCAAATTATCACAATAACAACGAGAGCTTCCCTTACTATATAAAATATTTGAGTTAATTTATTGATGCTGTTTCCTTCAGATTGACATGAYTTTGCAGCTGATTCAAAACATAAAAAGCAGCTTATATAATCATTTGCTCAGTGAAGCTCAAGCTTTGGAAATGTCTAAACAGAATATGTTTTTTAAAGTGTCTAGATATGCTGTGAGGATATGACAGTCTCAAAAATTACATTTTGAATCATACAGCGGGTAAAATAAGTATTGAACACGTCACCATTTTTCTCAGTAAATATATTACTAGAGGTGATAATGACATGAAATTTTCACCAGATGTCGGTAACAACCCAAGTGATCCATACATACAAAGAAATCAAACCATAAATGTACAGAAATGAAGTTATTTGTAATAATGTGGAATGGCACAGGGAAAAAGTATTGAACACACTGAAATTTATCTAATACTTTGTACAAAAGCCTTTGTTGTCAATGACAGCTTCAAGATGCCTCCTGTATGGAGAAACTAGTGGCATGCATTGCTCAGGTGTGATTTTGGCCCATTCTTCCACAAACAGTCTTCAAATCTTGAAGGTTTCGTGGACCTCTTCTATGAACTCTGATCTTTAGTTCTTTCCATAGATTTTCTGTTGGATTCAGGTCAGGTGATTGGCTGGGCCATTCCAGCAGCTTTAGTTTCTTTCTCTGAAACCAACTGAGAGTTTCCTTGACTTTGTGTTTGGGCTCATTGTCTTGCTGAAATGTCCAGCCACGTTTCATCTTCATCATCCTGGTAGATGGAAGCAGATTTTTATCAAGAATGTCTCTGTACATTTTTCCACTCATCCTTCAATTATTTGAAGTTTGCCAGTACCATATGCTGAAAAACAGCCCCACACCATGATGTTCCCACCTCCAAACTTCACTGTTGGTATGGTGTTTTTGGGCTGATGTGCAGTGCCATTTGACCTCCAAACATGATGTGTATTCTGRCATCCAAACAGTTCAATGTTGGTCTCATCTGACCAGACTATATTCTCCCAGTATTACACAGGCTTGTTTAAATGTTGTGCAGCAAACTTTAAAGGAGCTTCAACATGCTGTTTCTTCAGCAGTGGAGTCTTGCGTGGTGAGCGTGCATACAGGCCATGGTGGTTCAGTGCATTACTTATTGTTTTCTTTGAAACAATCGTACCTGCTAATTCCAGGTGTTTCTGAAGCTCTCCACAAGTGGTCCTTGGCTCTTGGACAACTCTTCTGATAATTCTTTTCACTCCTCTGTCAGAAATCTTGTGAGGAGCACCTGGTCGTGGTCGGTTTATGGTGAAATGATGTTCTTTCCACTTCTGAATTATGGCCCCAACAGTGCTCACTGGAACCTTCAGAAGTTTAGACATTCTTCTGTAACCGATGCCATCATTATGCTTTGCAACAATAAGGTTGTGAAGGTCTTGAGAGAGCTCTTTACTTTTACCCATCATCAGATGGTTCTTGTGTGATACCTGGCCATCATTTGGGACTGAACCAGCTGATATTAACTTGCACTGACAAGGGGCAGGCTTGCTTTCTAATTACTGAGAGAGTTCAGCTGGTGTCTTGGCTTTCCATGCCTTTTTACACCTCCCTTTCTTCATGTGTTCAATACTTTTTCCCTGTGCCATTCCACATTATTACAAATAACTTCATTTCTGGACATTTATGGTTTGATTTCTTTGTATGTATGGATCACTTGGGTTGTTACCAACATCTGGTGAACATTTCATGTCATTAGCACCTCTAGTAATATATTTACTGAGAAAAATGGTGACGTGTTCAATACTTATTTTACCCGCTGTATTTATCCAGAAATTCAGAGTGTACATATTTATAAACTCTCAAGTGCCAGTTTATCCCATTTCATAAGAAAAATGGAAATGTATGAGGTAAAATGTATAATATATAAGGTAATAAATAGAGCATAAGCATTTTATCACAGGGGTATGTGGGCAATGATTTATCATTAATTATGGACTTTAGCTGATAACAATTAATAGGTGACAATTGCACTTGTATGGACCGTATGATGTTATAACCTTGGTCCACATTTTCTCTTTCCTCATACTCACTTCATGTCTGTGTGGTTAGTTGCTCTGTGCTGCTTTCCACCATTGGACTCACGTGTGCACCTGGTAATGATAATGTGTTGCACAAGGATATGTCATCATCACATGACACTAATTGCAAAGTGGCGATTAATTGTTGACAGTTTTCTTGCAATTAATTGCACACAATACAATTTTGCCCAACCCTACCCTAGAGTGGATATTTGTAGTTTGTAACACTTCATCTAGTTTTACAGTCTCAGAGCTCTTTGTCCCCAGACACTACAAGACACTRTCAGATATTTACTTTTTTAACAAGTAATGTTTATTTGTCATTTTTAAATTGCTTGTTAAAAACAGTTTTTGTCCATTATAACATAAATCCAAAAAGTGCTAGAAATCACTCAGCTGTCACAGTTTACAGAAAATAACCTGTTGATTTTTCCATTATAAATAAAAAAATGCCAACATGATCCTGTTAACTTTTTGTAAAGCGATTTCTAGGAAAATAAAATAATCCAAATTAAGACAATACAAATGGAATAAAAGTTGCTGTGACCTACAAACTCATAATGTGTTGTTTTTTGTTGACATTTTACTGCTTTAATGATTAGAAAACCAATAAAGTCATTGATGAAATGGTCCGAGTTTTACGTCATTTTCTACAAGCTCCGGGGTAAAATATGAACAAAAGAGGCACACAGTGTAAATTATCATGAAGTCAAAATGTAAAGCTTCATTCCCGGACTGGTCATCACAAAGCAGATCTCTCTGAAGCCTTTTCTGTGTTTTGCACAAACATACAGAATGTTGTTCGCAACACGAGCATGTGGGAGGATGAGAAGGCCGCTGTTTGCAGAGTCTTAGTGCATGAGTGTACTATTTAGGGTAAAAAGTCTTCCAACATCTAAACATTAGCCCCGCTCCGAGTAGGTCTTCCCCAACTGGGCCCCTGAATGAACACAAACATAAACACACACTGTCCCTTTACCTTGACCTCCCATTGCCACACACACTCACATAAACACTCACATAAACACATTTGTTCTAAAAACACATTTACTGAGGTGAATGTGGGACACTGTAACACTGTTGTAACTCAAAAGGACGTTGGACTTTTAGATCTTATTTTCTTATTTTGGCCGTTTAACTCATGTGACACATGACAAGACTAATTTGTTGCTTTGTGAATGTCGTGTGTCAGAAGTCATGGTCATAAAGAGAAAAACAGACGACCAGGCTGCAAAATAAACAGAACTGAGACATGGTTCAGAACTGATTTATATTCTTCTGTCCCTCTGGTCATTGCATCATATCACAAATTTTATTGTACTGCTTGTAATTAACACTTTGGAAGCTGTGATTTATTTTATTAATTAATAAATTTATGTATTTAGTAAACAGCCCATCACATAGTTAAAGTTAAGGCTAGACAAAAGACTGATGCTTTTACCAACAAGAAAAATGGTTACAGCGTTCAGCATGAAAAATGTAACATGCATTTCCTATACAAAAATCACAAGGCACAATACACACAATTTAACTCATTTTGTTTTAAGCTTGGAGCAGCCAAGGTGCAATAGGAGGTGATGACAAAGTCTGTGTTCACCACTTCCTGTTACTGCACATGCAAATGTCTTAAACTGCTCATTTTCACCAGCTTTTTCCCCCCCTATTCTTTTAATATGGTTAATGTTTTCTTTACAATAATGCATTCAGACTATATGTGACCCATCATATTGAAATGAGGATTAAGTCAAATTTGGTCAAAATGACCTAATTACATTTTCAGATTCTTGGCATTAACAGCTACATTTTGATACCTGGATCATTCTGTTATCATAATTAAATCCATATTTATGACTTAATTTGTCTTGTTGGTTACAATAATACATAAAT